AGATCCCACCTGTGACTTCATTTTAACCACCCAAGCGAGGCTGGGATTTGATACCTTTCTCCCATAACAAAGATTTAAACTTGCAGAGCACTCTGATGTTATATTTTCAGGAAGAAAAATGCTGGAAACAAGGAACACATACTCTTTCAAGCAGTGAGCCAAAAGCAAACTTCAAAGCTGCATGCAATCTAGAATCAGAACCATATTTTTCAATCATATGCATGAGACAAAAAACTAAAGGGAAATAGCAAAATGCAAATCCCATTGATGAAGTAGTTTTACTTTTTCCCCTCGTTTCCCCAATTTTCATAATGGCCAAAAAAAATTGTAAGAAAATTTTCTTCAAGGGAATTTTTAAATAAACATGAGATTCTTTTCATTATTTTCAATCCCTTTCACATCTATTATCACATTTGTATCTCAGAGCAACACTTTAGGGAGAGCTGATGTTATGTAATTCCATTTTGTAATGTACAAAACTTAAGACAATATGTTTAGGACCCTCCTGGTCAGTCAGTTGGCTGGAGATCCACCTATGGGTGGCCCACAGGTCGCCAGAGCCTTGCCAGATCTCTGACTTCCAGTATGTCACCCCAGATTCCAAGGGCTCTAGGCTCTGCCCTCTTTAGTAAGAATAGTTGCCACTTGGATATGGCCTGGGGGTACTACAGGCTGTGTATGGCTGTTGATGATTGACGACATGAGATGTCCCCAAAGATACAGTCCCTTCCTGGAGTACTTGGCCACCTCCTCTCTTGCAAGATACCAAGTCCATGCAGGTAGAAATTCTTGGACTTGAAAGCAAGGGAGAGAGAGAAAGGGCAGTCTGTGTCTGAGGACAACATTTCTTGTCCAGTTTTTGGAGGACAGTTGCTGAAATAGGTCTGTCCTTGTGCCCTTTGATGGTGACATCTTCCTTCTGACTCTTTCTCCTTAGTCCTCAGAAGTCACAGAGGCTTGCAAGAGAATCTCCATCCATTCAGGCCCTGAGAGAGTGACACACCCCCCCCCCACTCCATCCCACCACCCCCCCCCCCCGCCTCACATCATAAAAGAGACATGAGGGACACTTAGAAAGAGGGTGTGCTTTGCTGGAGAAAACCACAGCCAAAACCAGACCAGAGCTCAGATCCACTGTAACCAGTGTGGGATGCTTTGGGGGCCACTCACCCGCACAGTAGGGCTGCTGTGTGAAAGGGTAGGACAGCTCTGTCTTCTCTCTGCGGCCTCACACCTCCTCTCCTGGTGACTGTCTTCCCTCTATATTTCTTGATTTCACCTACAACTACTTACCACTGAAGAGGGGGACAAAGTCTGCCTCAGGGGATTCAGGGGCACCCCAGATCTGAAGTTAGTAACACCACGCCATGCCCTTACTGAATGCCCCACCCTAATGAGTCCCACGCATTGGATGCCCTAAACAGTGCTGTGCTTTAATGGAGGACACTAATGCCGGCCGGTGTGTGACTACCAAAGGGGACACAGCTGCTCAGCACTCAACCAGAACCAGAGCACGGTTCACACTACATCGCCTGCTGTAGATGCTTCCCTGGCACCCAAGGGTGCCTGTTTCGGGGACTCAAGTTAGTAACCCCCACATTCGAACCAACTTTGTAGAAAATGTGGACTCTGCAAAGCAGAAGGAAGAAAAGTCCACCCCGCCCCTCCCGGAGGTGAAGGAGTGGGTTGAGCTAGGCAGACAGGGCTACTGGTGCCCCAGTATTTCCCTGGCAGATTTTAACTTGTGTTTAACTTGTATTTCCAGAGCCCTGTGGGCAAACACAATCTGGGACCTGGGAGAACAGAATAATGGGGGAGAGGAATGTGGGAAGGAACTGTGTACTGGACTAAGAAACTACTAAAATCTTTAAATATCTTGTGAAATTTCTTTTTCTTCTTCTTCTTTTTTTTTTTTTTTTTTTTTTTTTTTTTTTTTTTTTTTTTAGCCTTTGGCTCCTTACACTGTTTTTGTGTTTGGATTCGGTTGCCACGAGTGGACTGTTTTTAGCTGTCTAGTTCCTTCCCTCCCCCTTCTCATGCCCCAGCACGAAGCCTCCAACCCTTATCTCATTCCACAGAACATCCCGAGGCTGACCCTGACGTGGATCCCCCAGGGGTTCTGCAGTGTGAGACCTCAGCCCCAGCCCCCTCTCTGCTTAACCTGCCTTAGGGGTAAGCAGAGCTCCTGCAATAACCGGAGCCAGGGCTTCCTCCTGAGGCGCCAGAGGCACCCTCGCCTTCCTGCAGAAAAGCGATTGCGGTGCAGGTTGCTTTTCATGCCCTCTGCACGCGGCACTGACAATGTGCCCGCAGGGCGCTGGTGCCACTGTGGTCTGGACTCCCAGGACGCCTTCCTGGGGCGCAGACCTTGGGGGCTTCTCCCCTTCTTGCTCTTTCCAGTTCGGCATGCATTTGACAGCTAGCTCTCCTGGGGGCTTGGGGAGGGCAGTTTGGGATAGGTGCTGTTTTCCTCGGGTGTTTCAAGAGCGGATGGGCTGACTTCGCCTTCAAGAACTTTAGGGCTTCCAGGGCTTCTTCGGCAGGCGAAGCAAGCGCAGGACGCGCTAAGCTCAGACTTCTGTGCGTGGCTGACAGCCCTGCTATCCAGGTACCACTTGTTGAATCAAAACTGAGCGTTATTAGAACAAAAGAAGAGGAACAGGGAAGTGAAATGGTTCCACAGTGGTAAAAATGAGCCGAGCCCGTGTCGTGGGCTTCTGGTCTCCAGTGTATTTTTCAATGCTTGGGTTTTGTGGAGCTAGTGTGGCTAATGGCTAACTCAGCGTCCTCAACTGAATCTCCCCAGAAGGACTGGATCAAAACTCCACCGAGCTGGCTTGAGCGTCTTCGTGGAATTCCATTTTAAGCCGGAAAACTAGACCAAGATTTCTGCAGGCAGCTCGCAGTGGCAGTGAAAAGCCCCCCCCCCAGTCCTATGGGCTCACTTTTATCGTGGTGCCGTTTTTTCAAATGACTTTCACTGAAATGCAAAATTCTCCCTCCCACCTGAGCTCGCTCTGCATTCTGGGGTTGTGCAGACACGCCCGGGGTTTACCTGCCCGTCCGTCGGCCCCAGGGCGGGGCGTGGAGGTGTGGAGCCGGGTGTGGGCGTGGGAGAGGAAGGTGGGGCCCGGACAGCCGTTACCAGGGAGACAGGCAAAGCAAAACACAAACCCCACGCTTCCAGCAAGACGCCACCGCTGGAAATCAAAGATTGATCAGAGCAGGATCTCCGGGGATCCCTGGATGGAACCACCCCAGGGTTTCCCGGCCGTCCGGGCGGTGAGGCATCGACGGCCTCCACAGTCTTCCCAGCCCCGAAGCTGCAGGGAAAGACAGGGACGTTCTGGGCGAGGCTGCAACCCCAGGAACCCGGGTGCAGAGAACTTGATTTTACCAGGAGCTCTGAGGATGTGTCTGCCCCCCCGGGAGGGGGGGCACTGACCCCTCCTGGGCGTGGAGTGGCGGTGGGGAGGAAGACAAAATAGAGGAATCAGCAGGACGCTCCATTACGATCTTTACAGCCACTCTTCGGGTGCTGCGAGGTGCGGATGCTGGGCGAGACATGGGACCAAGACACCTCTAGCTCTCACCCCCAAATTAACAAACCATGACCTTTGATCCCCTCCTCTAAGTGGCAGGTGGAAGCAGGTGTCTCCGCCCTTGGCCGCGCCCTACAGCACGTGGCGCGGGCGGATCTCCCTCTCAGGCAGGTGCGAAAGTCCCCGGGCTACACTTGGGTCCACCTCCAAACTTCCGTGGGCTATGTATTGGGAAGGACCTGATTCTGCTGCTCTCAGCGCCCTGTTGGAGCCAAGGAATCGGAACCAGAAAATGGTTTTTTTAAGGTTGAAATCCATTTCTCTTGGACTCTTAGCTGGACACTCAGGACCTGCCTTTTCCGACCCCCGAGTTCGAGGGCACAGGGAATTTCAGCCGAGGGGCTCCATTCTGGGTGGGATCCGTGTGTAGCCATGCAGTCCGGGCCATCGGGTCCCAGCCCAACCCTTTCGGGGTGCGAGAGGTGCAGAGGAGTTTTTTTCCTAAACAATGTCCGAGAAGCGGGCGACTGCCAGCCCGGCCCTGCCCTTGGAGACCAAAGCCCTCTCTTTCCCACACCTCGGCTCCCTCCTAGCCCCTCCAGGTTGCCTCTAATTTCTCTAAGTCTCTCCTTTCCACGCTCTCCTTGCTTTCTATGAAAAAAAACCGCCTCGTGAATATCAAACGGTCTGTGGTTGTTTTGAAAAACAAAAACAAACGATCACACGCGGCCCCGGCACAGTCCCACGGCCGCGGGTTCCCAGCTGGCCTGGAGGCGCTCAGCGTGTGCGCCCGAACGACGCCCTCCGCGTCCTCGTTATCGGACCAGGTTCACACCAGCGAGGAACTTAGTGGATTCTCGGCAGGATGACTTTGGGCACCTCGGCCATTCGGGAGACGAACGTTATAACCCCTACCTCGCACCGCGCCCTAGAAAGAGGTCATTGGCATGAGCGGGGTGGAGGTGGGGAGGACACTGTCCTGAAGCTCACATTTGATCACACATTTTGGAGAAAGGTCGTACCGTTTACCAGCTTCATTTAGTACGGGTCGCAGCCTGGATCCGCCGCCCCGCCACCCCCTCCCCCCAACCTAGCGGAGGGAGAAATGCCAGCGCGGTGGAGTCATGCCGCTGGCTTGGGCACCATTGGCTCATGCCTGGAACACGCAGCAGCCAGTACGCACATCTGGCGGCGCGCCCGGGCTGCTCCCAGCCTGATATGGAGCGAGAGGGCGGGAGGGTGTGAGTGTCCGCGGGGTGCCCAGCCGCCGGCTCCGCCCCGAGCTTGCATCACCGCCTTCCCCCACCCCTCCCTCGTGCGCCCCGCCTTCGCCCCTCCTCCATCCCTCCTGAGCTCTGCCTGGCCGGTTCTCCTGGAAGCTATTAATAGCATTACGTCAGCCTGGGGCTGGTACCCAGAGTAAAGGGGCGCGCTGCCAGAGCCAGAGCTATAAAAACGGTGATGCAACGCACTCGGAGCCACAGTCGCACTCGGCGAGGCACGCACTGCACGGCGCTCTCCCCGCGCCACCGCCGGACTGACGCACGGACCGACAGCCAGCCCAGGCCGGCCTGCCCTGCCCGCCCTCCGGATCCTGGCCACCCCGCGTGGATACTCGAGGTGAGCGCTGCCGGCCGCGAAGACAGGCGCCCGGCTTGCGTCCCCTATGTGCGCCCCTGTGACCTGTCTGTCCCCGACCCCCGCGCCCACCCAATCCGTGCGCCCAACCTTCGGCGGCGGAACCGCGCTTGCTGAACTTCTCCGGGCCACGCCTGCTCCTGAGCGCTCCGGAAAGTTTCTGGCAAAGTGAAAGAACGAAACTTTCTCTTTTGACTTGGGGCGTGAAAGAGCGCGAAGGACCGGGGACTTTGGGCGCCCGCCTCCGCCGCTGAGCTCCGCGCGCTCGCAGCCGTGGCGGGGACTGGGCGCGAGGTGGGAAGCGAGGGTTGTCCGAGGCTGTCCGGCCCGCCGTCCCCCTCCATCCCGCACCTGGGACCCACCACCCGGACAAGAGCGCTGCCCCGGCGCAGTGCGCAATGAATGGGAAGGGGACCGGGGAGATGGGGTCGCGGGCGCAGCCGCTGGGGGTCGCCCTGCGCACTCGGCGCGCTCGCCAGGGAGCCGCGAGCGCAGCAGGTTCTTTGGGACAAATTTGGAGGAGACAAGCGCGGATGTCGGGGACAGGAGGCGGAGAGGGCTCCCTGCTGGCGTCGGGCTCCGGCGCTCGGGACTTCTTGTTCCGGTCTGCCACGCGCTTTCCTTTGCTACCTGTGGCGCTCACGCTGACCTTTCTTTTGGCGGGTCGGCGGATTTGACTGCTTTGCGCCGGGAGGCGGGAGGCGGCGAGCGTGTGGAGACACTCGTAGGGACGTTTGAGACAGCATGAACTTTCGGTCTAGATCCAGGACTCAGGGCTTACACAGTACTGATGAGCCTCAGAATCTCTAGCTGGGAAATATGAACAGGCAGACACCACCGACCAGGAAAAGCCTTTTCTAGCTGAAAATTTCCAAACCTTAGATGGGTAAAACTGAAAGGAGCCATTGAGGGGCCATAAATGAGGGGTCTCTAATGGCACTGACTAATCTCTGAGACAGTGGGTGAAGGGGACTTTTCCACAGGGGATCTCTGCCCTTTCCTCTCTTCCCACCGAGCTGGTCCCACCTCCCTGCCTGCACTGCCTTTCATCTCCTTTACCCACGGCTTTTCCTCCCAACCATTTTCTTTTCCTTGGTTTCTTTAGGTAGCTCACATATGCATTCTTTCAAAGAAAGGAGTTGCCAGATCCTTCATGGAGCTGGGGGAAAAAAATCAAGAACTAGAAAATCTGGGTGTTCTCATGTCTGTGTCTGTGTGGTGACTGTCCCATCTTCTCTGTCCCCAACTGAAAGCAAAGGAGAAACTGCAAGGACTGTGCTGCTTGTGTTGCCTTTTCCATTTGCCATCGGGCTGTGCTGGGACAAGCAGGCTGTGGCTTCAGGGTCCTCAGCGGGGTGGGGATGGGACTGAGCCTGTCCGGATGGATGGTTGGTTCCCGATGCAGCAGAGGCCACTGCCAGGCCTCCTGTGGGCCTTATTGTTATAAACTTTCCTTCTTTGTTCTTTAGCCATTATCTGATTTCTTTCTCTCTTAGCCTTTTTCTTCTATAAGCCCTCCTTGTCCTGGTCTTGTCAAGTCCTCTCTGGTGGGTATCATAAAAGCCCCCTCTTGGCTCCCTGGCTAATGACTCCATTGCCGTTTGCCTCTGTGGTTGGTTGACCTCTGGATCCCAGTTGTGATGGTGTGATGTGATATGACACGCTCTGGCCCTGTGACCTTGGGCAAGTCAGTTCGCCCTCCTGGGCTTCCCTTTATTTAATTGCAAAATGAAGATCTGACCTATGTGGTGCTAATGTAGATGATGGTTCTGTGATTCCTTCTTTGTACAAGAGACGGCTCCAGGTGCCGTCCTGCCAGAGGAAGAAGAAGAAAGACCAAGCCAGGTGACAGTCACAGAAACTCTTCAAGGAGAAACAGTATCAGGGGTGAGAACTGGTAATCTCTCACGTATGGAGGAGCAGTGAGGAAAGACTGGTGTCAGCAAAGAGCAAGGTGGAATTTACCTGGGTCTTAGGAGAGAGGTGTCAATCAGAGTACAAAGTGAGAGGTTAATCAGAGTACTCAGAGGATGAGACTGGCTGACCTGAAGTTCCCAGGGGTTCCAGTTAATTCCTGGCTGTTAGCGCCCCCTACGCAGGGGGCAGTGGAGTCACAGTAATGATGTGTGCGTGAATCTCGTATGTCCTCACCTTTTGAGAACTGAGGTGGGCAGTCTTGACCTAATTTCACAAAAGGGGGGCCCAGGCCTGGAGAGTCAAGTGGCTTGTGGGTGGTGCTTAGCTAGTAACGTGAAGGCTCACCTTTCCATCATCAGCCTTCAAACTGCCTAGGACAAGTACCTAGAGAGTAAGAATTCATAAGCCAGGCATGGTAGCTCACGCCTATAATCCCAGCATTTGAGAGGCCGAAGCAGGAGGATCGTTGGGAGTTCGAGACCAGCCTGGGCTACAAAGTGAGCTCAAGGCCAGCCTGAACTGCATAGCGAGACCCTGTCTCAAAAAGACAAAGAAAAGAGTTCATAAAGGGTCAGGATGGACACCATGTCCCATAAACTGGTTAGTGAACAGCGCTCAGTGGCAAGAGATGGAAATTAAAAGTGAAAATCCAAAGCCATGGTAGTTACAAGAAAGTAAAAGCCTGGGAGCTGGACTTCCAGTTAAAGAAATACACGAGTGAGGTTTCACTTTCCTGAAAGTGATGACATTGCCTGTGATGTGACGATTTCTGATTGGCAATAAGGAGAAGAAAGCGGGTGCAGCGTCTTCTGTAGCGGTGCGAACAGTTTTATTGTCAGTGTAGGCGGCCACTGCAGATGATCGAAAGTCCCCAAAACATTGTTTCTCTTCCATGCAGGGGATGTCAGAGTCTCAGCTTTCTAAAACTGCCTGAAAATTTAACTGTTTCCTGGGTAGGAACGTGGTATGAGTCTAGACTCAATTGTATCCTGAGAGACTGGATAACGGGCAAGCTGGGAAGCCAGGAAACTCAGCGTTGGCTTAGAGAAAGCCCGGTTTGCTATATAGACAGCTGCCTTATCTTCAGAGAGCCGGTTCCCATTTTTACAACCCACTGCAGTCCCCAAGTAAGCTCATCTGATGCTTTTCATAAAAACATTCCATGCCATTGACATTCTCCAGTTTCTTTCCTTAGAACTGCTGACTTTATAAGGAGAAAAAAATTCCAAACAGCAGCCCCCAGCCCTGAGGGCTCGTTAATAAGCTGAGCTAGTGGTGAGATGGACCCACTTAACTACTGTGCAATTCAAGCTACCTGTAGAGGAGAGAATCATTCAGTCCTCCAAACAAAGGCCAGTCCTGGTGGCCGTGGGTTCCTTTCCTGGGAGGGGAGCATGATCGGATTGGAAAGTCTTAAACCTCTGGTGTTGGAAGCCAAGAGGAGTCATCCCAGCTTCCTAAGATTATAGGGTAGAGAGGAAAAATTTAAGTTGTGACTTGGGACGCTTTTAAGAGAGAATTGCGTCCATTTCCTGGGTTGTCTATTTGGAAACTTTTAAGATCAGAGAGTGACTGGCCATTCTTCCACCTGGCCCTCTCAGGGCCTCTGTGACAGAGCCAGCCTTGGGCTAGAGATGGCTGGGAGTCCTGGTGACTCCAGAATGTCTTTCAGGGCATAGGTATTTATTTCCTCCACTCTCACACCTAGGGAGACAGGGCAGTGTCCTAGCCTCTTTTATACTAAAGAAAAGCCCGCTGGGATGTGCACTGAAGACTCATTCCTAAGAGCTCTTCAAAATGTCTTGATTTTTCTGACCCCAGTCTGAAACCAGCATGCATTTTTAAAAAGCCCATTGAAACGTCTTCGCAGCCAGGTGCGGTGGTGCACACCTGTAATCCCAGCTGCAAGGGAGGCTGAGATAGGACTGCAAATTCAAAGTCAATTAGGGCAATTTAGAGCCTCTCTCAAAATGTAAAAGGCTGGGGATGTAGCTCAGAGCTCCCTAGGTTCATTCCTAGTACTACACAGTACATAGACAAAGAAAAACAAACTCACTCCCAGAATGTAGGCAGCGACCCACCTGCATCTGATACAGAGAGACTGGCAATTCACCAAGCACAGTTCGTGTTCACACTGTGAATCTTTGCTTAGTTTCTGCTTCCTATTTCAGTTCCAGACCTCCCACCTACCCCTGCACTCGCCAAAAAAATTGCTGTTTTTTGTTTGTTTTTATAATGTGAAATAATGTATTTGCTTTTGTAGTATATAAATTAAGAGCATGAATGCTGGAGCCAGAGTTCCAAATCCTGGTACTGCTCCATGTTAGCTCTGCCACTCTGGGCCAGCTGCTTAGCTGGTCTGAATGTCACTTGGCACGGCACGTGCATGAACTCAGGCTGGGAACTGAGCAATGGGTTCTCATGAGGATGAGGTAACATAACGCATGTCAGGTTTCCAATATGAAGGAGACCCTCAAATGTTGGAGATTTGCTGGGGGGCTTCCTGTCTGGCTGGGCTTGGCTGGCCACAGATCCCTGAACCTCTTGGATGCTCTAGCCCAGGGGACCTCTGGCCCAGACAATCCCTGCATGTGTTGCTTCTGAGACTCAACTGCAGGGGAGTGGTCACAGCAGCAGGGAGGGACTTATGGGAGACCTTAGAACTGCTCTTTCCCTTGTGTCATGGCTTTGGGATCACTGACCTAGAATGGTGCAGGTGGATGGGATCTCAGAAGAGGCCGTTTGATTCCACCCTCTCTTTCCTCTTTCATTTATTCAGCCGGGCAGAGTCTAGCTGGGTAGCCCACATTGCAAGCTAGATGCTGGATTCAACCACAGCAGAGGCTCTGAGCTGAAGTCCTGGCCCAGATCACCTGCTCCTTAGTGCCTGAGCCAGAGCCAGGCTCCCCCTCTACTGCCAGCCCAGGCGTCTCCTGCACCTCAAGGCTGAGCCACACCCCCTCACAGATCCAGATCTTAGTGCTTCACTTTGTCTTATACCCTGAGGTCCTCTGCATCACTGACTGCAGATTGGAAAGGGCTCATTGTCCCCACAGGACCTGAGTCCCAGCCATCCCAGCCCCAGCCAAGGACTGGGGCAAAAAAAAAAACACCCAGCTGCAGTTACCTTCCTCATTCCCGACACCTGTTACCTTCTTCCGGGTGGAGAAGTTACGATACATATGTGTATGTGTGTGTGTGTGTGTGTGTGTGTGTGTGTGTGTGTGTGTGTGTGTTAGGTTTAAGGGTCCCCCACTTCTTGCTTTTACTTCCACTCACTAATAGATTCAACTTGATTTCAAGGACCTTCCAAGTTTCTTTTTGAAAAAAGGCTGAAAATGGGAATACAGAACGATCTTGGTTTTTTTTTTCTTAAGTTCCTCTTTCGGGACCAAGGTCACATTTGCGAATGTGCACACCAGCCAAAGCTAATAGCTGTTATAAGAGTTCAGAATAGCCCACAGCGTCAACCCTTACAGGCTTCAACCAGGCTTTTCACCACATCACCACACCATAGTTTTTTCTTTTTGTCTTTTTATTTTTTACCGGTACAAGGGATCGAACTCACAACCACACATTTGCAAGGCAGGTGCTTATGCCGCTGAGCTAAATCCCCAGCCCCTCTCACCACACCGTATTTTAAGAAATCTTACTCAAATGAGGATGGCATGGAACCAAAACCAACAGAAAGCTGAGGGGTAGGCGGGGCTCTGTGTTGGGGTATCTCTTGACCCCCACTCCCAGAGCCCCTGAAGCAGTGTGGCTTTCAATGTGTCTTTCAGCAAAATGATGCTTCAACATCCAGGCCAGGTGTCTGCCTCGGAAGTCAGTGCCTCCGCCATCGTCCCCTGTCTGTCCCCTCCCGGGTCGCTGGTGTTTGAGGATTTTGCTAACCTGACACCGTTTGTCAAAGAAGAGCTGCGGTTTGCCATCCAGAACAAGCACCTCTGCCATCGGATGTCCTCTGCTCTGGAGTCGGTCACCGTCAGCGACAGACCCCTGGAGGTGTCCGTCATGAAAGCCGAGGTAAGTTCCACCATGTGTGTTCATTCTTTTTGCACGGGGGCTTTACATACCTGTCACCTGCTGGGCTGCAGCTGGAATAAAACTGACAAAAACTCCACCGCTCCATGGAGCTTGCCTTCTGTGGTCTTGGTCTACAGAGAATGCAGACGATAAATGAATGCTTTGCACACTGGAAGGGAGAGGTGCAAAGGAGAAGTGGGGGAGGGGTAGGAGTGGGGGTTACTGTCTGCCCCTTGAGAGGCTTCTAACCAGGGGCTCTGAGGAGAGGGAGAGAGCCACGTGGCAAGAGAGTCAGGACCCCAGGGATTGGTGCGTGGGCAAAAGTGGAGCAGGGCAGCTTGTGCTGGGTCAGGGAGGACCCTGCAGGTGCTGAGAAGTAGGTGCTTCTGGATCTCACTGCTTTCCAAAGAGCCTGGATCTAGGGTATGGGAGACAGAGAGGACCCAAGGGTGATAGTGTTCTAGTGCGCGCTGCACTAGGAGTGGAGTGGCTTCTGGCTGCCGAGCTTGTGCCTGCAGAAGGCTGTGCTCTTTTAACCCCCTCGGGGTGTCCAGCAGGCAGCTGCCTGCAGGCCCTGGAGTGCCTCACAGAGTTGGGGCCAGAGATTCACCATTGGAAGCCAGCAGCATAAGGATGGATTTTGTGTTGAACTTTCTGGAGGAGCATGGAGTATAGTGATTTTTTTTCATTATGGCCAGGACCTTAGGGACTAGGCAGTCCGTCCCACACGTCTCTGCAGCAAGGCTCACAGCCTTGGTTCCAGCGCCTGCCTGGGTCACATCTGCCTCTCAGACACTTGTTCTGCACTTGGCAGCCTTTCACAGGACAGGTGCGACGACAGACATGGGGGAAGTTTGAGGAGTGGCTGCTTGTAATGTGGTGACTCAAGAGTGTCACAGCCAAGATCGTGCAGTGCCATTGCCTTCCTGTCGTGGTTGGAAGACAGGGATATTTCAAGCTTGCTTAACTGGCATATTACAGCCTTTGGGCAAGAGATAGTGGAACCAACCTAAAGGCAGTGAATCAGGAAAAAGCTGGGGTAGGAGTGTGGCTCAGCGCTAGAATGTTTGCCTCACATGTGCCAGCACCACACAAAAGGGAAGTGAGTGGGTAATCTCGGCTTCTGAAATTACTCCTCCCTAGGGCTGATCCCAGGGTGAAATGAGATGACGGTTGTGAATGAGCCAGCAGGGGGCCTGATATTCAATAAATGCGAGCTGGAGCTATAGGGGGCTGTGGCCATTGGCATCATTAAGGGCACTGGCTGTGCCCCAAATTAATCTCAGAGGTGATCACAGATAGACCCACACAGTATTAACCGGGTCCCAGTCCAGTACTGGACAGTGCAGGGCAGACCATGGGGCACTCTGGGAAATTTCAAGTGTCAGATCCCCTGGTACCCTGATTCTTGTCTTAAAAGCCTCTGAGGATCACAGGCATCCTGTGTGTCTGGGCAGCATGAGACCGCTTCCCAGATTTCAGCGCCCTCGGGAAGGCGACAGGATAGAACAAGGCGGCTGAGGCTGTGAGCCAGTGCAGGGAGGGAACAAGCCCCTGGCTTCCTATTCTGGTACCAGTGAATCGGTGATTCTTAGGGCTTCCCTGGGCACAGAGCAACTCTGCATCCTGCTTCTTCATCAGTGTTGCGACAGACTGAATGACATGATCTGCAGACGCTATCTTTGTCCTGAACACTCTAAGATCTTCTCTGTCTTCAGCGCTGACTGCTTCCTGCCCACCCAGAATATCGGTGAGGCTCCAAAGGAAATTCGGCAGTGTTCAGAAAGATAGCGGTGCTGCGGTTAATAGTAGTAGTGAAAGCTCATGCGGTATCTACTACGAGCTAAATACCATCAAAGCTTTTTACGTGTGTTAACTTACTTGGTTCCCATAGCAACCATGTAGGTAGGTGGTGTTATTGGTCCCATTTTCACAAAGCAGGAAACTGAGGCTCAGGAGAGTAAGGTGTCCATAGTCTTCCAGCGAGTAAGGCTCTAAAACCTGAATGCTTCCCAATGTCACCCTGAGATCTACGATGGGAAAGGTAGAAATTCTTCTTCCCCCATTTCTCCTCTGGGCTTTGCCTCTCTGGATTACAAGGTCTCCACCTCCGTCCAGGCAAAGCCAGTGTCATCTAATACAGAGAAATAGTTAAGAGTGACATGAGGTGACTGTGGAATCCCGACAGCTGTCAGGACTCCCACCCTCTTCCCTCGCCCAGAGCAGGGACAAGTGAGGCGATGGGTCTGACACTGGCAGCCTGAACTGTCAGGTGCTCGGCTCACCAAGAGTGCTTCACTCCAGCTCTTCTTTGGTCTCTTAAGCCAAGTCCCGTGGCCAGCTGCCAATTCCTTATCAGTTTGGACAAAACCAGGGGTTGCCTTGGGCACAAGGGGTGCCTTGGGGTTGCCACATCCCAAAGCAGCAGGACAGGGTTTTGTTCTCCCAGGAGCCCCGGGCTGCCTCAGGGTGAGGCACAGGATTGGAGAGCACGATTGATTTATTGGCCAGTCAATGGATGCCTGTAGTTCCCCACCTACCTTGGCTGGAAGGGATTCAATTTCCTCTTCTCCAAGAGGTCCGTGGGCATCTCCCAAATTCAGGAAGTTGCTACCACAAGGCCACGTGTGAACACAGAGGAGAATGCAGTTGCCTCTGGGCTTTGGATCAAAACAGTGGCAGGAGGAGAGGGCAGCCATGCAGTGGTCTTGAGATCACCCTGCGTTTAGGAGAAGGAACATATTTACCAATCTGTTTCCTGTTCTAAATGATTATAGTTGATCCTAAAAATTATCCACATCCGAAGTCCAAATCCATTTCTAGAATAGGTTAAGATTTTACTTTACTAATATTGCCAGTATAATCTTGTTTGCATGGTTGGTTTTTGTTCCTCCGTCTCAGTTGCGTGCCTGTGTTAAGGGCTTTTGTGTCAGAGTCTAAGGGCTTTAGTTTCCTTAACATCAGGGCCGCCCCGCTCTGCTGGATTTTGCTGGCAGTATAGGACAGTGTATTGTGAAGTGGGTGTCATTGCGTGGTGTGAGCATTCAGTGTGAGCCTTCTGGATTTTATAGGTAGCCCCTGAAGAAGACGAAAGGAAAAAGAGGCGACGAGAAAGAAATAAGATCGCAGCCGCTAAGTGCCGGAACAAGAAAAAGGAGAAGACGGAATGCCTGCAGAAGGTGAGAGCTCCCAGCCGCCCGCCCTCCTGTCCCCCACCAGCCCCACACCCCTATCAAAAGGGGAGTCACACATCCCCCTTTAATGCTTTCCTGGGAGGGGCCTTGTAACTGGCAGCAGAAACGCCAGCTGCAGGATGAGGAGGTGGCCGCAGTGTTAGCGCAGGGAGAGGGTCGCAGGTGTGTGAATGGCAATCTTTAATGGCCAGGCTCCCAGCAGCCTCCAGGCCAGTGCAGTTGAAGAGGATTCACCAGCCCGTTTTCCCGGAAGGAAACTGCCAGCTCTTATTTGGCTCAGTATTAAAAAAAACAAAAAACAAAAAAAAAAAAAACTTTTATTTATCTCCTTAAACACATTATTTCCTGGATCTGAAAGCAGTGGTTACATTTTCTGTGGGTTCCTATCTTCTGCCTCATGCAGCAGTGGTGGCTCCTGGCAGAACACCAGGGGGGCAGCCCCCGTGGGCCTCGGAGCCCAGTGTCCTCCTAGTGGCCGCCCTGCTCCCCCTGCGTGGACAGGACGGAGCACAGTGTCAGCCCAGGTGTCACAGAGCCTGGAGGCCCCTGCTGATCACTTCAATGGGTCCCTAGAAATAAGAAATTTGTGTGTCACTGAGTACATTTGTTCTGGGAAGGTGAGCTTTGGGCCTTGGTGTCCTCACCTGCGTGTTGGACCCACACAGAGATCTCTGGGCTCTTGGTCCTCTGTTTTGGCCCTAGTAGCATCAAAGTGGCCTCAGCAGCATCTCCACAGCTTCTCTGAAGAGGCCCCAGCCTCAAAGATTTCTCCCTTCCCTAGTGCTCCCCTTTATGGAGTGGGGGACACGGTTCCTTCTGCAGGGTCCCCCAGCTTGACAGGCCCCGAGGTGGCTCCCTTCCTCATGCCTCTGTCGCTCGTCCCCCAGGAATCGGAGAAGCTGGAGAGTGTGAATGCCGAGCTGAAGGCGCAGATCGAGGAGCTGAAGAACGAGAAGCAGCATTTGATATACATGCTCAACCTGCACCGGCCCACCTGCATCGTCCGGGCTCAGAACGGGCGGACTCCTGAGGATGAGAGAAACCTGTTTATCCAGCAGATAAAAGAAGGAACGCTGAACAGCTAAGCAGCCGTGGTGTAGGGGCAACTGGGGAGTCCTCGTCGAATCCTCCCTTTCCACCCAAAACCCTGCAACCATTGGAAAGCAGACTTCCTGTGCACCTCTAGAATCCCAGCAGCCAAGAACCATCGAGGTGGGAGGGCCCATGGCAGCCTGCTGGGCCTTCCCTCTTTGGACCAGAGCGAGAGCATCCTTTGCCTCAACTCCAGGATTTAGGTCTTAACATCCTGGCCATTCTTTGATGTCCAGATGGCCCCCAGTTAGGGTCCTGCCCATCTGTTAGGCCTCACGCAGAGGTGTCTACACCTCGGGTGGGCGGGGCTGTCTCCTCCGCAGCAGCCACGTTCCTTGAGGGATACACGGAGTGAGAGCCACAGGCATTGAAGTTGTGCGATGGCCAGGGCTGTGCTTTCTAGCAGATACGCTGTCATGTTTGGGAATTACTGTGTGCAAGGCATTCGTTTCAGAACTAGGCGTCCTGCTCTTCTGATGCCTCACCTTTTGGTGATTATCCTCAGATCAAAGTCAGAGAGTCTGGGGTCTGTCGCCCTGGGCAGTGTCCCTCTGGAAGATTTGTGTACCACGGAGAGCAGAGCTGTCCTGCAGGCCAGGAGTGTGGGGGCTGCATTCCCCTGGCACCCTGGTGTTAAGGAGCAGCCAGGGGCATGGCCACAGGTCCTGTTGCAAACTCAGTTTCAGTGTCATAGGAAGAAAGCGGAAAGAAAGTTCAACTTGCAAGAGCTTAGGACTCTCCACTCAGGCTGGGAGTTATTTCAGAAGAGCCAAAGACATACTCCATTCTCCTTTCCTGGTGGTCAGAAGCCAGTCAGTGGAGACATACATTGGAAGCCAGTGATGGCAAGGTTTTAGCATTACTGGAGGTTCATGCGTCTTTCTTGTCATGGAGCTGTGTTAAGAAACCTGGCCCAGAGCATTTGCAGCTGTGAGCGGTCACTCACTCACTCACACTGGCCACAGGACTCTGGCTAATGTCTGTTAAAATTCTGATGTTTCTGTGAAAGCCTCAGAGTGTTTGATCCTACTCGATAGTATCATTACAATTTTCTGTAAGAGAAAAGATGACTTATTTATCCTAGTATTCCTGTCAGTGTAATAAATATTGGAACCAAGACATGGTAAATGTAAATGTTGTGCTGGCTTGTTTTTCTAAATCTGTGGTTGATGGAAACCTAGTCATTCCCCACATGTCACCTCTCCGTGTGGAGGGCGATTTGCTTTGAATATCTCGGGGTGTTAGTCTTTGTTTCTTGGGGCACCATCAGGAGGAATCATTGACTTACAGTTCTTTTCCTCAGTCTGCGATACCTGAGGCTCAGTTTCTCGTTGACACACCCTGAAACACAGCAGCAAGTAGAGGCTTTAGGGCAGCTCTTCGGTACTGAGATAGAAACTCTGAATTGCTGAGTGCTACAACTACCAGTTTCTCTGAAGGGCCGGGTCCCTAAAACACCTGTTGTCAACCTGCTGTCTGACTCCCTCCTTTCTGGCACAGTGCTCCCCTGGAAGAGTCATTTGCTTGGACTACAAGGGCCGTGACATCCAAATGTGTGTCTCATTGTCATGAATGTATCATAGATATCACAAAAGAATGGGAGGAGGCACAGGTGAAGAGAACAGTTTTGAGCAAGATGGATGTGGTAGTTCCAAGAAACGAATTCTGCTTAGTTTTCTGGACTTCCCAGGCCAAATGACCCCTCGGGGCTGGCGTAGAAACAGGCTCCCTGGCTGTCTACGGGGGCGCTGTGTACCACGCCCAGGCCGAGGTGCCAGGTGCCCACTCTTCATCTTTCACTGTGCTCTTCCACAGACACTAACTTCCTTAAACACGACATTTGCCACCCGAATGCTGTGCTTGCTTCTTTGAACTCGCTGATGGACTGGGCGTATGACACAGACTTACTATTTTTGCGGCTTTAATTGTCCCATGAGGGGCTGTCCCTCATCTGTAGAGTCACCTGGTTGTTAGCACCATTGGCCATTCTATCATTGTGTACATTTGTGTTCCTTATCTTGGTGGAGGCGAAAGTCCCCTTCTGGTGTTAAGCTTTGATTATGTCAACTTGGGTGGCTTGGGAGTCACCCCAGGATGAGTACAGCACACTCCTGGGTGTGTCTGGGTGGGTCATGAAGGTATGAAATTAGGGAGTGTATCTGAGCCCTGGCCCCTGCCTCCCTGGCGGCCCCACTGCCATGCACTACTAAACACCCTTCCGCCGTGAGATTTCTCCCTTAAAGCCAACCAGCCATGGGCTGCATCCCCTGAATCCAGGAATCAAATTAACTTCTTTTCCTTCAGTTGTGGGTGCTGAGGTCCGTCTCCAGGAAGGCTTATACACCCTCATTAACCCTCTGGTCATGGGTAGAGTGGCACTGCCAGCCACTATGACATGCAAGACCATTGTAAGCTGCCATGGACAGCAGTGGACTAGAGAGGGAGGGAGAGCTGGTGATGGTGAGAAGACCTGACCCAAGAACTGCACTGTGTTGTTAATGTGACCATAAGCTCTTTTAACAAATGCTTTTGGATTCGTTGTTTTATGTATCCAAGTTTATGTTTTGATACTTTAATAAACAAAAAGATGAATATGCATTTACCACCAAGTCACTTGGTTCATCTCGTTTCCTATTTGGAGGAGAGGGAAAGTTGAGGAGGATGCCGGGGACAAGGAGTATAAATGCAGGTGCAGATGCCACCAGAATTGTTAAACACTTGGGTGACAATGACCTGGCCTTCGGCTGCCTCCTGTGGTGACATCACACTGGCAGGGCCTAGAAAATCCCCTTCCCTCTCTCTGAACCTTGCCAGGAGATTTGTCCGCTCACCTGTTTCAAAATAAAAGAGTTTGAAGGCCCTGGCTCAGGATGGGGGATCTGGAATCAAGTCCTTGCTGTCAAGCAGGAAAATGGTAACCATTTCCCAGCTGGATCCTTAAATCTTCCCACGATCCTTGAATAAACCCTTGACTCCCAAACCCACATCCAGCTCTCTCCTCTTTCCTCTACCCTACACTCTCTGTTTCCCCGCCCTGAGCAGTGCACGGAGTACCCTTCTGTGTCTCGGGGTGCCTCTGATCCTGGAAGCCCTCCCAGGTCCCTTACGCAACACCACCTTTGGGAAGGAATTTTTGCAAAGTACTGCTGAGGACTAATAGTAGTAGCTCATGTTTGTCAAATAGGCCATGTGCTAGTGCTTTATACACATTATCCCACATGTTAATTAGCTGTTACTATAGCAAAATACTAGGGCTGGGGATTTAGCTCAGCGGCATAAGCACCTGCCTTGCAAGTGCACAGTCATGAGTTCAATCCCCAGTACCGAAAAAAAATATATAGCAAAATACTTGAGAGAGTCAGCATATAAAGAGGAAAGGTTTATTCTGGCTCACAGCTTTGGAGGTTGCAGTCAGTGGTAGACTGAACTCCTTGCTTTGGCCGTGGGGAGGTGGCACATTGTGCTGGGGGTGGATGGCCGGCTCCATGCTAGCCCAGGAGTGGGAGTGCAGAAGAAGCGGTTAGAGAACCAGTCTCCCTCCAGGACAGCTCCCAACAGCCCCATGCTGAGGACTAAGCCATGACACAGCCACCCTTCAAGAGACCTCTAGATCCAAGCGCTGGCACCCCAGTAGGTGCTCACCACAGCTGTTATCCCCATTCCAAAGAAGAGCAGCAGCTTGCTCAAGGTCACAGGTTGACCTTTCTAAAACAGAAGCTTGTTTTTCAGCCATAACGGTTCCAAGCAGCCCTTGAGCCATCATCCCATTTTCTCCTCCTCCAGTCCTGGCTGCCACTTGACTGTTCTGGGTATCTCAAGGACATAGAATCCTACAATCTGTGGCCTTTTGTGTTTGCCTTCTTTCCTTGAACTTGCTGTTCGGTGCACACACCAGCCCTCTGTCTCCGTTCACAGCAGCTGAATAACTGCATGGAGCAGACACTCTGTACCCTGCTTATCCATCCATCTGTGGACAGAGGGAGAACCTTTGTCCTCAAGCAGGGACTGAGGTGGGACACCAGGCATAACAATCACCAGGGAGAGGAGAGTAGGGAGATTCCATGAACAGTTCAAAGTCATCATTCTGCGGCTCACCGTGCAGAATGGCAACCAGGCAGCAGGCGTAATGGCACACGCTTCTCGCCAAAGCACATTCTCGCCAAACTATTGCTGTGCACAGGGAAGTTAGTACCAGAGGGTGTTCGCCAGGCTCCTGGAATTTAAACTTACACGTCCAGTCTTACCTCCTCTCTCCAGCACTTCACTGAGTAGAAGATGGGAAAACGGGGAGAAAAACTGGGGGATTTAAGAGAATAGCTGGGCTCCTGCCTGCTGGGTATAAATGGAGGGGAAGAACTGAGGGGACCCACTAAATAACCCCCAACTCGAAGTCTGAAGTGGTGCTGGGTTCTCCATCTCACACACAAAGACACACATATGCGCACATACACACACAATTTGTTATGCAACTTCTCATAATAAATCAAACTCATCTCTTGTGGGAATTAAATCAGTCCTCTTTGAAAGCATTTAACTGGCCTGAGGTCTTTGCAAGGTAGAGGTCTAAAGCCAGCTAGAAGTTTTGGAATGGGCTGGGCCTGGATTTGAATAACAGCATTATTTGGGATACAATTTCAGTTTTTTCCTTGTAGGGTTAGAGCAGTAACAACAGTAACAAACTCAGTGAGTTCTCACAGTAATATGCAAAACAGTGCAGCATCTAGGAAAAGCAACGCCTAATTATTAACTCAAATATTAATTATTAAAGGTTAGGGTTGTTACTAAAGTGCATCCATCATCAGGATTTACTAAGATCTGTGGAAGGGTAGGCTAAGGAACAAGATCATCAATTCTGCATTATTCCAGAATTAAATAAAATTCTGGAATAAAATTAAACCAGGAAGGTTCAACTCTACCCCCACCATCTTACATTTTGTACTTTGTCTAGTGGTTGAGGTTTTGTTTTGGTTTTTTTGTTTGTTTTTGTTGTTGTTGTTGTTTTTTTTTTTTTTTTTTTGTACCAGGGATTGAACCCAGGCCTTTACACGAGCTACATACTGACCTTTTAAAAAATGTTTATTTTGAGACAAAGTCTTAAATAAATTGTCCAGTCAGGGCTCAGTTGATCCTCCAGCCCCAGCCTCCCAGAGGACTGAGATTACAGGAATGTGCCAACATCCCTGGCTAGCAGTTCATTCTTTCAAATTTGGAGTGAACAGGGAAGCATTCATACAAAAATTTCCCTTTTGAAGAAAAAAAGGTATTTTGGTGCCTACCTGAGTCCCTGCCAGCGTGATCCTGTCCTCTGTGGGGGCAACCAGAACATGGGAACAAAGGAGAATGTGACAGTGACAGGTCACAAAGGCAGCAGAGGATAAATACCGCATCGCAGGGCTGGAGGCCAAAGAGAGTGGCCCTGTCTCCCGCTAGGACTGCAGTCTGTAGACTCCTGGCGAGCTAAGCAATATCACGGCTGGAGGTGAGGGCTCAGACCCAGAAGAAAACTTCCCAGGGTCCCACATACGCTGCACCTTTGACGAGAGCCCATCTGAGGTCCAGACCCCTCCAGTGGTCCTGGTCCATGGTCCCTGCTCCCGGGCCTGGCCTGGCCTTGGGAGGCTCTGAGGCTCTGGGGGCCTTTGGGCTGGGGTGGAGCGGAGAGGTCATCTGTCGTGCCACCCTTGGGACCAGGAACACCAGGGATCCCTTATCCGCCAAGGACACTGGGGCAGACGACCCTGACATGACAGAAGATGGTCACAAACAGTGAGTGTGTGCTGCCCTACTACACAGCCCAGAGCGGCTCTGGAGCCGGCATGTTTAAAACCACCATGGGTAAGCTGCAGCGGCACCTGCACAAGGGTGAGTACGACATGTTCCGATATGCCCCAATATTCGAGAGCGACTTCATCCAGATCACCAAGCGTGGGGAGGTGATTGATGTGCACAACCGCGTGCGCATGGTGACTGTGGGCATCGCCTGTACCAGCCCCATTCTCCTGATCCCCGACGTCATGCTCCTGGCCCGGCCGGCCACCTACTGCGAAGATATCGAGGGACTTGGACAGGTCACCAAGGGGAAAAACCGCAAGGCGGCAAAGCCCTTGGAGCTCACCAGGCTTCTCCCCTTGAAGTTCGTGAGGATCTCTGTACATGACCGAGAGAAACAGCAGCTGCGCCTGAAGTTCGCCACGGGCCGATCCTGCTACCTGCAGCTGTGCCCTCCCCTCGACACGTCCGAAGACCTCTTCACCTACTGGGAGAAGCTGATTTACCTCCTACGGCCACCTGTGGACAGTAACAGCAGCACCTACGCCACCCCTGCCGAGGACATCCTGTGCATGCCTGCGCTGCCAGACGAGGGCAGGACGAGCCCGACTGCCTCGAACTCCCAAGGCAAAGGTGACCAGGACCAGGTCAGCATCCGGAGTTTCCATGTGATCCCCGAAGTGACGAGGACCACCTCTGCTGCTTACGCTGGTGGGGAGGGAATTCAGCCTGGCTCTCAGTACTCCCCCACTGCCACACCCAAAGTATCCACCTCAAAAATGAGATCCACAGAGTTTGCCAAAGGATCAGCATCAGAGACAAAAACAGAGGTGGCAATAGCTGGGGCGACAGTGGGAGATGGAGCAGCAGTGGCAGTAGGGACAGCATCAGGGACAGCATCAGGCACCTTGAGTGTGGCAGCAAGCAAGTCAGGCTCTGGACAGGTGACCGCAGCTCTGGCAGGGGCAGGTGCCATAGGGGAAGGCAGAAGCAAAAGCCCTGTGGCAGGCAGTGACAAGGCAAAGAGCCTGAGTGTCGCTGTGGCAGGCACTGTGACACAGCAGTCAGAGCCCAAGCCTCCCAGCGCCTCCCCAAAAGACAGCATGAGCGCAGCATTTGCAGGAGGAGAAGCCACCCACAAGGGCTCTGGGGAAGTGGCCAACACCTCAACCTCGGAAGTGGCAGTGAGCAAAAGTCCTAAGGACACAGAGGCCAGACAGCAGGGCGCCCCCCAGGCTAGCCAGGCTGCCCACAAGGAACGAAAGGAAAGAAAGAAGAGAGAGAAGGACAAAGCCACGAGTAAGGGTTCGCGTCACCATCACCACAAGACCCACGAAGATCACCACAAAGCCTCAGGGGACAAGATGGCCCGAAAGTCATTCAGTCGGTCCTCATCCGGCCGCAGAAAACACAGAGCCGGTAAAAAGGAAAAAGGCAGCCACCGCAGTGCCAGGGGCAGCAGGCACAGTCGCACCCCCAAAGGCACTAGCCGCACCTCCACTGAGAAAGAATCCAAAACCTCACACAAATCCAGGAGGAGCTTATCAACCAAGAGCTCAGGTTCCACACCCAAGACAGCCAGGAGTTCGGGGTCCACGCCCAAAGTGGCCAGGAGCTCAGGGTCCGCACCCAAGACAGCCAAAAGCTCAGGTTCCACGCCCAAGAAGGCCAAAAGCGAAGGGTCTGCACCCAAGACAGTCAAAAGCTCAGGGTCTGCACCCAAGAGACTGGGCAAGTTCAGCTCTTTCCTGAGGACCTTCAGGGCCAACCTCACCACGAAGGGTGCGGTCTCACTGCATGGTGGTGATGTGGACATTGTGGCCAAGACAGTGGAGACCACCAACGTGGAGGCCATCGTGGAGACGGCAGAGAATGGCCAGGAAGTGGAGATCGTTGGTTCTGTGACATCTGCAGTCATCGAGTCGGTGACTGTTGAAACCCATTAAACAGCACCTCGAGCCAGAGGCCACAAAGGCCCCCAAGAGCACCCTGAGAGAGCCTATTCTAGCTTTCTTTACTGCAGGTGAAATAAAGAACTATTCAACCTGAGAATGATTTGCCACGATCTGTGTGATCGTTCATGCTCATCAGTTCAGCGGTGACCTCACAGAGGATTCTGTGATGTCAGCTGTGCTGAGGGGCTGGACCCAGTCAAGGGGAGCCCCTCACCTGCTCAGCAGAGCTGATGTGACTGCTCCCGCTTGCCTGGAACCTTCAGGGCTTTGGTAACCCTGGGCTACGGCCGGGAGGCATGGTCCTACCTCCATGGTTCTCCACCCTTTTGATAAACTTCCTTGGAGAGTAGGGCTACTGGGGGGCAGGGGGCAGGGAAGACCAGAAGAGAGAGGACATTATCTGATAAGTCACTCCATGCCTGGGTGTGTGCCCTGCAGAAACACATATATATATCCTAGGAGATGCGTGTGAGAATGTTTATAGCAAAATAATTTAGTAGCAAAACTCTGGAGCAGACTCAAGTTCCCACCCCAGAGCTTACATTACAGTGGGGTACAAGCAGTCACTCAGTGACAAATGAGGGGCAATGACATGTCTGCACACATACATTTGTTCATCGTGATAGAGACCTCTCCGGATATAATTCGGCAAGGTCAAATAGCGTGTTGCATCCTTGTTTGGTAAACCTGGAGTCAAAGGACGTGGCCAGCGCTAGGGTCAGACCAGTGGCTTTCCCTAGGGAGGAGAAGGCAGCAGTGGGATGGAGGTGGTGGCAACGAGATGCCTGGCAGTGCTGGAAATTCATTAGTTAGGCAAGAGGTGGGGTCAGGTGCTCATTGTTCTGCTGTTGCACATTCTTGAATCTCTGAAATCGGTGTGGCCTGTCCCTACCATCGCAGTGACAGATGAGATGAACTTGCTGTCGCTCCTGGCACACCTGACTCGATTCCTTTCCCCTGTGTGTGCACACAGTGACACAGAACACTCCTTTGTCAGGGCTCAAATTTTAAAGGACGTGAACGAGAAGCCACGGTTGGCTATTGAGAGAGGGAAGGGTGACCTCTGTTTCACAGAGGAGGACATTCAAGGTGGTAGCTTGCCCTCTCACCTGCGGGACCTTTGCAGTACAATATCACAGTGTCATGCAGCCCATTTCTTGAAGCAGAGTCTGAGTCTCGTGGAGGAGGACAGCGAACAAGGGCAGAGAGACAGAGCCACAAGAAACTTAAGTCTCTCCAGAGCCGAGCCCCTGAATTTACCAAGTTAAGGTCGAGGACAATGGGGCAGGGAGACTCCTGAGCCACTGGCAGCTGGGGCCGCAAGCATGCGGCAGAGGCCCTTCAGGCCTTGTGCCTGCCCACCTCACCTCCACGCAGCTATAAACACAACTCCTGCAGGGATTCCAGGCTGAGCTGGCCCCAGGACACTCCTGACTCCACCCACAGCCCCGTCCTCCCCAGTCACCAATTATACTCTGGAAAAGTCAGGGCCAAATCCTTCTCCATGCCAGATCTCCAGGAGCTTTCTTCTGGTGATTCCCCAGAACAAATCAACCTCATGCAAAGGAGGTCTGAGTGCCCTATGACTTCCTGGAGGCTGTGAGCACTGAAGTTACGTTATTCCTAAAGGGGCTGTGGAGGGAGCCGCAGACTTGAGCACAGGGCCAGGAGAGGACTCTTCTGTCCCCTGAGGGAGCAGTGGTGGTGGCTGGCGTGGGTACCCCATTGGAGGACTTCCCATATCCACAGTCCCCTCCCATAAAACGAAGTTCCTGACCCCAGGATGAGGAATTACTGGAGTGAGTCAAGTTTTTCTTAAGAAAGGAGGGAACATGCCAGAGATTAGATACCAATCAGCCCTGGGAGGAAAACAGCCTCACAATCATTAACCCAGAGTTCCGAGCAGGGGGTGGGGTTGGGGGGTGTCAGGGAGGAGAATTAATCGTTTACTCTTGACTGCCTTTTTCCTTTGGCTGGAAAGGTGGGACCATTACAAAGGATCATACTACATTCCTCCATCTGAGATTTCCACACAGGCCAATGTAGGTAAATACCAGTCTGGAAGGGGAAAATGCAATGCAATAAAGTATCAGCCTAGCACTTAGTCATCTGTGAAGTTCTTTAATGTACCTGCTTTCCTCCAAGCGCACGTCTCTCCATTTAGCTGATCAGCAAGCAAGTTCCTGCTCCAAAGGGACTTGCTCAAGGAGCAGGGGGGCCACCCCAGCACACCCCTTTCATGCAGCACCCACTGTGGGCTGGTTCTGGGGCCCCCACAACCCCACAGAGCCAGTGGAGCAGACAGGGTAGGGGTGGTGGTCAGTCCTACAATGCCGGGGGACAGATGCAAGGAGAGATGCATGCTAGGGAAGGGAAGCTGTGCACAGGTCGGGGGTTCTGGCGTGTGGGAAAGAGTCATGGGTCAAGAAAGGCTTCCCAGAGGAGCTGGCAGTTTTGAAGAATGAATAGCAGCAATAAGGAGTGAGGGTAAGGCTGGAGAAGATGCCCAGGGAGGGTGGAGAGCGAGGATCAGGCTGTGGAAAAGAGATGTCCAAAGTACACAGGCTTTGAGATGTCACAGGGTGCTGAGACAATTGTCAAGTGTGAGGTATGATCAAGCTGTAGGGTGTGAGGGTTTAAAATATTTTTGAGAGTAAAAGGCACATCACATGGCATTAGCCCTCCCCAAAGTACTGCCCCTTGCTTTGGACACCTTCCTCCCACCTTCCTCTCTTCCTGCCTCTCTCTGAAGGTTCTAGAAGTCCTCTTTGCTGAGTGCTTTTACAAGATGCGATCAAAAATACAGTGATGCTGCTGCCTAGTGACAGCCAACAGGAAGGCAGGCTCATAAATACGTGACACTGTGTCCCCTGGAGCATCTTATTCCCTGCAGCCAGCACTGCGTGATTTCTGGTTCTTCCCCCAAAGTCAAAGTGACCGCGCAAAGGAAACGTTTGGAATCAATTATGACCCGAAGGAAGAATTCCAAGACTGCTGCAGGAAATGGCAAGAACCACGGGCTAAGTGGGTTTGAAGCGGGGGCAGGAAGTATTTGGAGGGAGATTCTGGCAATGTGTCTTTCACTGAAATGCATTTTTAAAAATTTAAATATTTGCTATATATTTCTGCCACATCCCGCATTTCAGCCTGGACGGCTGGAGGGCCAGGAGTGAGGAGGGACAGGAGGATCAGCCAGGGGCCCTTGGGGGCCTGCGGGGCCTTGTGACTGTCCCAGCCTTTGGCTGCCACCCAGGGTGAAGACTGAAGGCCGGTCTCCGATGGCAGTAAAAACCTGCGGCTCCAGGGGATCCTTTGGGAATCCTGGCCAGAAACAGGGAGCCTGTAACTGAGGGTAACCTGCTGATGGGAGTGAAAGGGGCCAGAGTCAGGGGATGTGAAAGCAATGACACAGGACAATTGTTCTCCTGTCTCACAACTACACAGTTTAGGGCTGCACTGGTCTACGGGTGGCAGGACTAATGAAAACCGAGGCATCTTTTTAGGGGGTGCCAGAAGCGAGGTGCTTCAAAGCAGAAGAAGCCTGTAACTTCTCGACAGCAGAGGTGAGCAGCCTGGGAGGGGTCTTTGCCGGCAGAAGCCTCAAACTCTTCCTGGACTTCGGGCTCAGGGCGCCCACTAGAGCCCCTTGTGGCCATGTGCTACCACTGCAGGTTGTGCTTGACGGTGGGGGGGGGTACCATCCAGTTGTTTTGCAGTCACCGTTCCCCTGGTCACACCGCGAGCTGCCTCTCGCTGATTCCTGATAACCAGCCCATCCTTCAGGCCAAAGCCACTCCTGCAGCAGGCGAAAGCAGAGTAAAGGAGGCGCTGGTAACGAGGCCATGTCTCTCACCCAGGCAGCTGCGTGGCTCTAGCCCACCAGTAATTGGGTGACAAAATATGGAAGGGGCACTAACAGCCCCCGAAAGGCTCTCCGGAACCCTCAGGTTATTTTTATTTTTTGGAGACAGGGTCTGGCTGTGTAGCCCAGGCTGGCTTCAAACTCGAGATCCTCTCGCCTCAGCCTCCCAAGTGCCAGGATGACAGGTGCATGCTGTCACTCCCAGCGCCCTCCACCCTTGTTACCATAAGTGGGACTCAATCCAGGGATGAGACGGGGTGCACATGGGTTCTCCAAGAACAGAAAGGCAAAGAAGCCTGGTCTCTGCCCTTTGCCAGTTCAGAGAACCTGGACTGCCATGAAGACCCACGTACTTCTCCAGGTACTAAGTGGGACCTGCCCCACACTGAGGGGTGACACCCTGGCAGCTGGTGGACAACATTCCATCAGTGCTGGTCCCAAGAACCCCATCTGGTGCCGACCCCGGGCTGTCACTTTATATAGCTGCCCTGGTCTGCAAAAATTTAGGAAGCATCTTCCCAGATGTGGCCGCATGCAGGGGAAGTGGTGCCCCCCACGCCACCCCGTTTCTTTCCCCACCAATATCGTCGCAGCCCGGAGCACTGCCGTCATGCAGCATGTGCCCGCTGAAGGCAAAAAGAGGACAAATACAGTGAGTTTTTTCATGAAACTTTCCACAAAGCTGAATCTGCTTCTTAGTGTTTTGTTTTTGCAGTGTGATATGCACAGAAAAATGCCCAAGCCACTAGAATCTCACTCAATAATATGTCATGGACCCAGCGCCTGGGTAAAGACCAAGGTCGCCAGCACATCCCACAGACCCGTCACATCCTCTCTCTCCAGCACTGATCCCCAGGGGAACCTCTGTCCTCACCTCAAAGGCCATCTGTTAGTGTTGCTTCCTTTCCAAATATATATAAATGGAATTATAAAATGAGCATGCTATCGCATTTATGAGATTTGTCCATGATTTTTCTGCTTGTTCAGGCGTGTTTTTGTACAAACATCCTACAGACCCCTTATTCACTCCACTGCTGATGGGCATCTCTGTTTCTCCTGGTCTGGGATGGTAAAGAACAGTGCCTCTGTGAGCATTCGTTCAGTACTGGAGATTGGACTCAGGCCTTTGCACTGAGCTATGTCCCCACGCCAGCCTCTTTTTGAGAGAGGGTCTAGCTAAGTTGTCCAGGCTGTGCCCAAAC